TCAAACAGTCCCTCCTCCACCTTTTCAAACAGTCCCCTCCTCCACCTTTTCAAACAGTCCCCTCCTCCTCCACCTTTTCAAACAGTCCTCCTCCACCTTTTCAAACAGTCCCCTCCTCCACCTTTTCTAAACAGTCCCTCCTCCACCTTTTCAAACAGTCCTCCTCCACCTTTTCAAACAGTCCCTTCCTCCTCCACCTTTTCAAACAGTCCTCCCTCCTCCACCTTTTCAAACAGTCCCCTCCTCCTCACCTTTTCAAACAGTCCTCCTCCTCCACCTTTTCAAACAGTCTCCTCCTCCACCTTTTCAAACAGTCCCCTCCTCCACCTTTTCAAACAGTCCCCCTCCTCCACCTTTTCAAACAGTCCTCCTCCTCCACCTTTTCAAACAGTCCCTCCTCCACCTTTTCAAACAGTCCCCTCCTCCTCCACCTTTTCAAACAGTCCTCCTCCTCCACCTTTTCAAACAGTCCCCTCCTCCACCTTTTCAAACAGTCCCTCCTCCTCCACCTTTTCAAACAGTCCTCCTCCACCTTTTCAAACAGTCCCCCTCCTCCACCTTTTCAAACAGTCCCCTCCTCCACCTTTTCAAACAGTCCTCCTCCACCTTTTCAAACAATCCTCCTCCACCTTTTCAAACAGTCCTCCACCTTTTCAAACAGTCCTCCTCCACCTTTTCAAACAGTCCTCCACCTTTTCAAACAGTCCTCCTCCTCCACCTTTTCAAACAGCCCTCCTCCACCTTTTCAAACAGTCCTCCTCCACCTTTTCAAACAATCCTCCTCCACCTTTTCAAACAGTCCTCCACCTTTTCAAACAGTCCTCCTCCATCTTTTCAAACAGTCCTCCTCCTCCACCTTTTCAAACAGTCCTCCACCTTTTCAAACAGTCCTCCTCCACTTTTCAAACAGTCCCCTCCTCCACCTTTTCAAAACAGTCCTCCACCTTTTCAAACAGTCCTCCTCCACCTTTTCAAACAGTCCTCCACCTTTTCAAACAGTCCTCCTCCTCCACCTTTTCAAACAGTCCCCTCCTCCACCTTTTCAAACAGTCCTCCTCCTCCACCTTTTCAAACAGTCCCCTCCTCCACCTTTTCAAACAGTCCTCCTCCACCTTTTCAAACAGTCCTCCTCCACCTTTTCAAACAGTCCCTCCTCCACCTTTTCAAACAGTCCCCTCCTCCACCTTTTCAAACAGTCCTCCTCCACCTTTTCAAACAGTCCTCCTCCACCTTTTCAAACAGTCCTCCTCCACCTTTTCAAACAGTCCTCCTCCACCTTTTCAAACAGTCCCCTCCTCCACCTTTTCAAACAGTCCCCTCCTCCACCTTTTCAAACAGTCCTCCTCTCCACCTTTTCAAACAGTCCTCCTCCTCCACCTTTTCAAACAGTCCTCCTCCACCTTTTCAAACAGTCCCCTCCTCCACCTTTTCAAACAGTCCTCCTCCACCTTTTCAAACAGTTCCCTCCTCCACCTTTTCAAACAGTCCTCCTCCACCTTTTCAAACAGTCCCCTCCTCCACCTTTTCAAACAGTCCTCCTCCACCTTTTCAAACAGTCCCCTCCTCCACCTTTTCAAACAGTCCCCTCCTCCCACCTTTTCAAACAGTCCTCCTCCACCTTTTCAAACAGTCCTCCTCCACCTTTTCAAACAGTCCTCCTCCTCCACCTTTTCAAACAGTCCTCCTCCACCTTTTCAAACAGTCCTCCTCCACCTTTTCAAACAGTCCTCCTCCACCTTTTCAAACAGTCCTCCTCCACCTTTTCAAACAGTCCCCTCCTCCACCTTTTCAAACAGTCCCCTCCTCCACCTTTTCAAACAGTCCTCCTCCACCTTTTCAAACAGTCCCTCCTCCACCTTTTCAAACAGTCCCCTCCTCCACCTTTTCAAACAGTCCTCCTCCACCTTTTCAAACAGTCCCCTCCTCCACCTTTTCAAACAGTCCTCCTCCACCTTTTCAAACAGTCCCCTCCTCCACCTTTTCAAACAGTCCTCCTCCACCTTTTCAAACAGTCCCTCCTCCACCTTTTCAAACAGTCCTCCTCCACCTTTTCAAACAGTCCCCTCCTCCACCTTTTCAAACAGTCCCCTCCTCCACCTTTTCAAACAGTCCCCTCCTCCACCTTTTCAAACAGTCCCCTGTGGTCTAAATGAAACATCTGTGCTGTGCTTTGGTCAAAATATAACATGAATCAAGCACCAGAGGAGGTTTGTGACCCTGTATAAACCAGCTCTCTCAGAACGCTCTGTTTTGGTGTGTGTCTCTTTAAATGTAATGACCCCCCCCCCCCCGGAGTTTTCCCCGTAGACATCATTCCTCTGTAGAGAATAAAAATGGAGGAACTGCGTTAAAGTTTAGTTCTAGTCTGGGGGTGGAGTCCATGGGTGGAGATACCAGGGGAGGGGAGGGAATTTTTTTTTACCAGAATCCCACTGTGACATCACAAGGAGAGCACATTTGAAACAGAGCATTTTTCTCTGTGTTGTCAGGTGACTTCCTAAAGATGCTGCAGGACGAGGACATCAACGTGCGCCGCGTCGCTCTGGTGATGTTCAACTCCGCGGCTCATAACAAACCTTCTCTGATCCGCGGTCTCCTAGCAACCGTGCTGCCCCACCTCTACAAGGAGACCCAGATCAGGAAGGACCTCATCAGAGAGGTGGGTCGGCGGGTCACGGAGCTGAAAACATTTTAATATGTCATGGTTAATATTTGTGCCGACGACGTGTGATTGTGTGTGTGTGTGTGTGTGTGTGTGTGTGTGTGTGTGTGTGTGTGTGTGTGTGTGTGTGTGTGTGTGTGTGTGTGTGTGTGTGTGTGTGTGTGTGTGTGTGTGTGTGTGTGTGTGTGTGTGTCTGTGTGTCTGTGTGTGTGTGTGTGTGTGTGTGTGTGTGTGTGTGTGTGTAGGTGGAGATGGGTCCGTTCAAACACACGGTGGACGACGGTCTGGATGTGCGTAAAGCTGCGTTTGAGTGCATGTACACTCTGCTGGACGGCTGCCTGGAGGGTCTGGACGTCCTGCAGTTCTTAGACCACGTGGAGGAAGGACTCAGAGACCACTACGACATCAGGGTGAGCAGAAAACCATCCCGGCAGGTCCACAGCAGCTCCTCTGTCTCCTGTTTGATTGTGTTTGTTCTCGCTGTAGATGCTGACCTTCCTGATGTTAGCCAGGCTGGCGTCCATGTGTCCTGCTGCCGTCCTCCAAAGACTGGACCGTCTGATTGAGCCGCTGAAGGCCACGTGCACCACCAAGGTGAGGAAACAGGTGTACACGCTGCTGTTCTCCCCGGTCTGATGACCTGTTAGCTAGGATCAGGACCAGGTCTCAGTCTGAAGACTTGTTAGCTAGGATCAGGACCAGGTCTCAGTCTGATGACCTGTTAGCTAGGATCAGGACCAGGTTCATAGAGGATCTTTAGTAAATACAGCAACAAGGTGGTCTGGGGTTGATGATATCTAAATACATAATAATGCGGTTCCCACTTTGGCCACAGGGGGCGCCAAGATCGATGCAAACATAAAGTTCCTAATGGGAGCTTTAAGTACGAGATAACACTGAAACAAGCCCCCTCCCCTCCCTTCTCCCTCCCACAGGTGAAGGCGGGGTCTGTGAAGCAGGAGTTTGAGAAGCAGGAGGAGCTGCGGCGCTCTGCCATGCGCGCTGTCGCCGCCCTGCTGGCCATCCCTGAGGTGGAGCGGAGCCCCAGCATGGCCGACTTTGCCAACCAGATCAGAACCAACGCTGACATGGCGTCCATCTACCAGAGCGTCCAGGGAGGGGAGGGAGGGGGGTTAGCCCACGCAGAGAGCATGGACACGAGCTAGTTGCTATGTAACAAAGAAACAGACGATCACTGCTGTTTTTGTTAACAGAGTTTTTTTTGTTTAAATTTTCCGCTCTCAGAAAAATAAATTTTAGGATTTTGAAAACACTTAACAGGTTTCTTGTTTACTTTGTTTTCTTACCAAAACAAAGGCATGTCCTCCTTCTAACTTTAGATTCTGCTCCTGAATGCTCTGGATTTGTTTGGACCAGAGAAGGTAGGCGCTTTTAAGGTGACCCCCCCCACACGGCCGTTTTGGACGCTCCTCGGTTTGTCAGATATGAGAGCAGTTATCAGGTCAACAGGTGTTGCAGTGATGGAAGCGGTCAAGAGAAGTGGTTCAGATAGAAGTGATTGTACCCGACCTAAAAAGCCTCTGCATGTTTCTAATAAGCTCCACGAGCAGAAACGTGCTCAAACTAGGATCAATATTGGAGATGCTTTTGAAAAATGGAGAGAGGTTAGAACACAGAAAGGTTTACAGACCCATGCAGAGCTGGATAAACACTGAAGCTTCAGAGTCCACCACATGGTGACCTGAGTGAGCATGTGCTCTAGAGAGGATATGGCAAGCCCTTTTAACAGTCTGGCTGACAAGTAGCAATTTAGTTTTCACTAGTGGAAATTACATTTCAACATGTCAAAGTTACATTTTGACATGTTAAGATATCTGTAAAACCATTTTTACACGTTACAAATATATTTCTACATGTGGAAATGTAATTATTATATTATATTATTACAGATATCTACAATTCAATTTCCACATGTTGAAAAGGGATTGTTACTAGTGGAAATGTAATTTCCCATTTCAGATATCAATAATTGCAGTTTCGAATATGTGGGCGTGACGGGCCGTCATATTAGTAGTGTACCATACAGCCATTGGTCGACTTTTAAATAGTTCATGAATATTCATTGTTACTGTATTGTTACTCTGCAACAGCTCCTGTCTGGCTCGATTCGCCACATTAAAGATTCTGTCAAATGCAGAAACTGCGGTCTCAGTGTTTCCGTCTCGCTGTAGCCTAATTACCATATTAATTTTGGATATGTCTGTACACAATTGAAGATATCTACAATGGCATTTTGACTAGTTAAAAAAAATTGTAGATATCTCTAATATAATTGTTACACGTAAAAATGTAATTACAGATATCTGGAATTACATTTTTACATGTAATAATTCCAGGTCAAGATATCAATAATGTAATTTCGACTAGTAAGAATTGCATTTTAGATATCTAGAATTAATTTATGATATCTGTAATGTTAGAACAATTGTAGATATCATAAATGAACTTTGTCACTAGTAAGAATACAATTGTTGATATCAAGAATTAACATTTTTACTAGTGAGAATTGAGTTGTAGATATCATGAATTTCAATTGTGACATGTCAAAATGTCATTATGGATATGTCGACTTTAAATTACAACATGTAAAAATTGAATTACAGATATCTGTGATTCAATTTGAATAGAAGTCAATGGCACAAGTTGACAAGTTGTAATTAAGTTACAGATATCTACAACGAGCATTTCCACTAGTGAAAAATGAATTGTAGATATCTTTAATTAGAATTGTTACTAGTGAAAATTACATAGTGGATATGTCGGCTTGGAATTCTAACATGTCAAAAATCAATTATTGATATCTACAATTGCTATCACCACTAATACTTAAATGTTAAAAGGGCTTGCCATAGAGAGGAGGGGGTGGGGGGAGACAGCACTCTATGATGTTTAGACTTTGGACTGCATTACCCATTTTAAACACTAGAGGTCAGAGTTACATACTGCTCCTTTAAATAAAATCTTTGAACACTCAGTGCAGTTTGTGATGACCATTTATTAAAGAGCACATTTCATACAACACTTTGTTTTTCAAAGCAAATACATGTAAATAAACATCGAATATAATCCTAAAAACAAACAATCAGATACAGTGAACAGTGGTTCTGTTTAAGCCCCAACTCATAAAATACAGCAGTAAGAAGAAATGTTCTGAGTCTGACCCCAAAATAAATAAAAAGCACACTTAAAAAACTGTTAAGAACTCCAATCTATTGACATTATGAGCAGATGATGTTTTTGTTGTGTATTTAATGATACCAGTTAAAGTAATGTTAATGTTTGATGTTAACTTCAGTTAAATATGATTAACTGAAGTCGACGTTAACGTCTTTCTTAACGGATTAATGATTAATAAAGTAAAATGTTAACTGTTCTGACATCATCACACAATGAACACAAGTGAAGAAACAAAGGTGTGTTAACTATGAAGTCTACAGATGTTTTTAATGTTGATAAATGCTTTGTTGTTTCTCTTTTTTCTTTGTCTTAAAAACTGCATCAATTAGCACCTGTAGGAATTAGCATGTTTACATTACTATTAGCATCAAAATATGGTTAAAAACAATAAGGACAACAGATGTTTTCAACACGAGCTTCATGGTGAGCTTCTCCAGAAGTGCACCAACAGCACGACCTTGTAAAAATAGACATTTTAATATGGAAGCTGACAGGGATTTTATTGCCTCAAGTGGACACTCGAGGAACTGCAGCTTTTAACACTTTACACATTTGACTCCGGAGGTTGCTGCTTTTGAAGAGACTTAAAAATGGTCGTCTACAAACTAATGGAAGGCGTTAGGCTGCAGAGAGATGCAAATTTAGCTGACTTTTATTTTGCAGGGAATATTAATGATTGAAGCCTGAGTGATGCTGGAGTCCCATCGATGGCGGTCTCCTTGCTGGAAATGCTGTCTCAGTCTAACTTTCAGTCAACCTAACGACAGGCTGAGAGCTGGAGCTGAGGCGGGTTTTAAACCTCCTGACAAACCGTTACACCGCGCCCACCTGTCAATCAGGTCAGCTACACGCCTTATTGTGAATAACTCTTATCCTTCATCAAATCAAAACTGATGAGTCATCAAAACATTCACCCCCCGTACAGTGTGTGTCCATCCAGACATGAGCTAATCACACCTATTTGGTTTTTTGAACCAGGCTGTAAACATGTTCATCTCTGCTGTAAAAACAGGCTTTTTAGAATGGGTGTGTATGTGACTTCCTGTGCTTCTGCAGCCAGCCTCTAGTGGACACTCGAGGAACTGCAGGAGTTTACACTTCAGCATCAACTTCATTTTTCAACACCAGAGGTTTCTGCTTGGTAAGGCCTCGGTTTCCAGCAGCTAAAAAAAATGTGATTGTAGGTGTTTTAAATTAATGAGTGCATCGGCTGTTTCCCGCTACAGAGACCTGAAGATTCTTTTTTATTTATCGTTCCAGATCAAAATGGTTTCTTCTTTGTCCACGCTGAACCTTTCCACCTAATCTCTCTGCAAGATTTCCTTATTCCTTATTCCTTCAGACAAACTCTTCGATTCGTCCTCACTGATTCTTGTTGACCGTGGAGTAGAAAGGTTCCTCTGAAGGTCTGGACGCTTGATTGGCAGCACTTGGGCTCTGCTTCACAGACGAGTATTCACAGGCGGAGGAGCTGGGTTTGAGGGTCAGTCCCTCACCTCCAGAGCTCTGCTGGAAACTGATGGCAGAGTAATGCAGCGAGGGGGACGAGTTCTTGGGAAAGTCGACCGTGGCATAAACTGTTTTGGTTGCATGTCGTGAGTCTGGATTTGTGACGCGTTCCTGTATCTCCTCGTAGATGTAATCCTGCCAGGAAAGAAAAAGAATATCATTCTTCATCTGAAGATCTCAGTCCTATAAACAAACTAACAGACTGCATAAAATATATCAAACTCAACGCAGACAGGACAGAAATATCAGCACATCCATCTTCACCTCAAATCCATGACCATGAAATACAACGAGCAGGCCAGAAATCTTTGCATCATTTTGGATTCTGACCTTAGCTTTGACAGTCATATCTCCAACATTACCAGAACAGCATTTTAACATTTGAAGAACATATCAAAACTCTGATCCTTCATATCCCAAACTGACGCTGAGAAATGAGTCATCTCAACCAGGTGAGGTGACTGTAACGCTCTATATGCATCAAAACAATCTGTAGGAAGACTACAACTTATTCAACATTCAGCAGCCAGAGTCCTGACCCCGTATGAGAAAATGTGATCACATCACTCCGGTCCTCAAAACTCTCCATTGGCTCCCCGTACAACACAGAATCACCTTCAAAATCCTACTCTTAGTCCATAAAGCTGGTTCAGCTCCTGAGGACATTTCTGACCTGCTCACAGACTACAACCCAACCCAGACCCTCAGGTCATCAGGTGGAGGTCTTACTCAGAATCAGATCAAAGTCCGGAGAGGGGGCCCATTAGTTACTGTGGTCCTTCTCTCTGCTGCTGACCTGAGGTCCATCACTACTGTGTCTACTTTTAAAACAAAACTCAAAACCTATCTGTTCTCCAAATCATATGAGTAGTTATTTTTGTGTGTGTTTGTCTGTGTGTGTGTGTGTGTGTGTGTGTGTGTGTGTGTGTGTGTGTGATCACTTTTGTGGTAACTGATGTTTGCTTCGTGGTGTGTTTGACTTCATTGATTAGATCTCTGTATCTTCTTAATGACTGTGGAAACACTTTTGTATGCTGTTTTGACTTTGTGTTTGACCTCAATGTAAAGAGCCAATCTGTAAAGAAATGTGCTATAGAAATAAAGTTGCTATTGCTATTCCTTAGCAGCTGAGTTATTCTTGTAAAGGTCTAAAGATATTACTGTCATGAGGTCAGAAAAAACATGCAAAGATGTGTTCAGCCAACATGAGTAGATATAAGAATCCTGCATCCCTTAAATATACATCATGCCGGCTTCAAGCCTCTGAATCAGCCGTTACATAGGCTCTGTTCTCTACCCTGGCAGCCCTGCAGCGTTCTGTATGACACAAACGTGAGCTGTCAGACTGAACTATATTCCTGTACATTTACCTCTTTGGTGTTCTGGGCTGCTGCTCCATGTCTTGTTCTTTTTGAAAGGGACAACCCTGTAAAGAAGAAAACAACCAGAAGGTTTAAAGATTATCATATTTTATAAAGTGCATCGATTTTAAAGCTTTCTCTGCACATTCAGTTACGTTTGCCTGCCAGTGTCAGTCACAGATAAGAACTGAAAGACATGCACGAGTTAATTTTGAATGTGTCTGATTATGACTCGTATATGAAGTCTATCTGGTTTCAGTGTGGTTTTCATGTTGAACAAACTGGTGATGAACGTCTTACGTTTGTAGGTAACGATCGAAATGAGCACGAACAGCAGCAGCACAACAGCACAGACGATCACAGCAATGACATACACGAACACATCTGCAATAAAATATCCAGTGTTATTTAAAACAGTCGAAGGTTTAAAACATCGTCACTCCTCCTGCAGACATCTCACCTGCTCTCTTACCAGGACTCTCAGTAGATGGGGTCGATGTTACTGAAAGAAAGGAAAAGTGCATGAGATTTATGTTGCTACAGAAAGTCAGCAGTGTGATTTCATATCAAAGATCCTCTATTGCAGTGGTTCCCAAAGTTGGGGTTGGGTTCCTTCCACATGTAAAAAATTTAAAATAGCATATCTTATCTTTTATTGTGAAAATACAAACAAAAAATATAGTTCAAGAGATTAGGTGTGTTCTGCTCCGAGCGTTTCTGTTTCTACATTAAATGTTTTAACCACCTCCGGGGACAATGGGGGTCCTCAGTTCTTAGCACCGTTATGTTGGGGGTCGCGGGCTGAAAAGTTTGGGAACCCCTACTCTATTGGACTGAATAAATGGAGCAGACGCTGTGAAACAAGGCTGGATTAACGGCTCTGTTTAAAAAGCTCTTAATAAACATGTTTCTAATCTTTGTCTAAATGTCATAGTTGTGAAGAAGAATCAAATAAAAGCGTCAGACCCTGCAGGAGGGGGCTGAGAATACGCACATCACACCTTCTTGTCTATGCACCCTCCATCTTCACCACCCAACCACTTCCTCTGTTTGTTTTTCTTCCTACAGAACGATGGTTTGAAACAACATTTCTCTATCACATGTGGTTCAACACTTTGACTTCTAGCAGCCATCTTAAACGAGTTTGTTGCCTTCAGAAAACTCTGAGCATGTTCACAGTCGTCAACATTAACAGAGACTGTGACGGTCACTGCCCTGGCTTAATACCAGACTGTCACACTACTGACCTTACTGACAGACTCACTCCATGTTTGCTGTTCTCAGGTCATTAGTAAAATAAATCATTATTCATCTGAAGTTAACTGATGTCCTTTTTCAGATTTGTCATGGCCCTTGAGCCAGGTCATGTTACAATTCACTTAGCAGATGCTTTTATCCAAAGTGACCAGATCAGAGAGTAAGTACAACACTAATCCATTCATACACCTCCACTGAAGCAGAGGGAGCAATGCAGGGTTAAGTTTCTTGCCCAAGGACACATCTGACATGTTACTCAGCTGGGAATTGAATCTTCAATCTTCAGTTCCACTCTTTAAACCTCATCGTCTCCAGTAAAAACTCTGAGCACTCACCTGCAGTCAGCACCATCCTGTGAAAGAACCTGTGAGTTCCATCAGTGCTTAGATCTCCACACCAGTACGTCCCAGAGTCCTCCTGTTTTACTTTCAACAATGTTATGGTGATATTTCTCTTCTGTTGATCCACCGTCATGGAAAACCTTCCAGTACTGATGTTCTCCCGTGTGGTGTTTATTAGAGGATGGCATATAGAAGGATCTTCTCCCTTACAGATGAATTTCACTGATTCTTTTTCTTTTTCTGAATATTTACAAAAGTATTCAAAAGTGTCTCCAACTTTTGGAGACCTTTGGAAGTTAATGATATCTGTGGACAGACAGAGAGAAATCAACGACACTATTAAAGGAAGAATGTGTGACTTTTTGATCCAGTAGATGTCGCCCTTGAGCTCCAGCATGAAACCAAAACAAACTGCTGTTAGGCCACGCCTCCTCCATACTGAAGCCTCCGCCCTCCTCCAGAGACACACCTCCAACCCCCCTCCACTCACGTTTACACAAAGTTATCAAATGGAACCAACATAATTAAACACCATCAAGTGGCACCTGTGTCCTGCGTTGTTGTGTTAGCATGCTAATGTTAGCGCTCTTTAGTTAACTCGTAGCTTCACATTGTTGTGTTAGCATGCTAATGTTAGCGCTCTTTAGCTAGCGCGTAGCTTCACATTATTGTGTTAGCATGCTAATGTTAGCGCTCTTTAGTTAGCTCGTAGCTTCACATTGTTGTGTTAACACGCTAATGTTAGCGCTCTTTAGTTAGCTCGTAGCTTCACATTGTTGTGTTAGCATGCTAATGTTAGTGCTCTTTAGTTAGCTTGTAGCTTCACATTGTTGTGTTAGCATGCTAATGTTAGCGCTCTTTAGTTAGCTCGTAGCTTCACATTTCATGTAAACTGACACAGAATGAGCGTGATCTAAAAACTCTTACTAACATCCAAATAATCAGTGAGTATGTTCTTCTTCTTCTCTCTAGTTCTTGACTAAAACAGCTTTTATACACAAGGGGAGGAGCCGGCCGTCCCGTACATGTAAACACGGCTCTAACAACAACACAGCCAGCGGGACTCGAGCTTCTCCCTCATTGTAGACAGTCAGGACTCAGAGACACATTTACACAGGACAGACTTTATGATTTATTGATGTGGAACATGTCGCACACTCTTCCTTTACACAATGAACACTTAATTCAAAATGTCAGATGCGAGTGACTCACCTGCAACCTTTAGTCGTATTTGTCTGAGTCCAGCTCGGTAACTTCCATCACCTGATGTGAGTCCACACCAGTAGATCCCATTGTGATGCTGTGGCGACACATTTCTGATGGACATGATGAGGAAGTTGTCTGTATCATTTGCTTTTTCTGTGATATCCTCACAGTCGGAGTTTCTGTCTTTGCAGAAAAACATGGCTTTGGACCAGTAATCAGCTTCAGGGTCTTCACATGTGATGGTGGTCTGAGCTGTTTTGTAGGCAGTTTGATCAAATGGTTCCCGGCAAACATCTTTATCTGCAACTACAAGAGAAGTAAAACGGGCAAAATGTGAGTAAGGACATTTTCTAAAGTTTGTGTAACTGCTACAAATACAGAGAGCTTTACTAGTGTGGCCAAACCAAAAGAAACTGTATCAATAACGTGATAGGTGGATAGAAATCAGAGGCGGCGTCTACTAAGTGATGGAAGAGATATATCTGATAAAGTCTGTTAGGATTATATGTTAATAATTCAGAGTGCTCCGGTTACAGAGTCTCTCTGTCGGGGCATTTTATTAGTTAGTTAATGTTCCTCTTGTGAAAAAGTCTGACCAGGTTAGTGACATCACTTTAATGAAAAACACATGAAAACAAAACATGTCTCTTACCAGCTTTCCTGTTCAGTTTAATGTCGACAGACACAGACTCAGTACGTCCAAACATGCACTTCCACTCTCCGGCGTCTTTGTCCTGAAGGTCTTTGATGATCACTCTCAGTTTTTTATTCTTTGTGTCACGGTACATGGAAACTCTGTCTTTGACTTCCCACTCATCTTTTTTAGTACTTCTTATGACGGTTTTGGTTTTATTGATTACATTAATATTTTGAAAACCTTGCTGTGTGTTGGGATATGGGCAGGTGAAGTCGACCCATCCTCCCAGACATCCCTTGACTTCATGTGAGGCCTGACTCCCTGTAGATCAGACAAAGAAACAAACACATCATGTCAGACACCCAAACAGTCCTACAGCTTCTGATTAGATCTCACTTAACTCTCTGTGTATGTTTTATAAACTTGTTTAACATGATGGCATCACGCGCACTGTCACGATAGATCCTGCATCCTAGATACTGAACATTAGGTCTGAACAAAATGTGATTGTATTTTTCAATATTGTGACAATGATATAAACAGTGATAGATAAATACAAAATGAAGAGCTATAACTCAGTTTCTTTGGCTGCAGTCCAAATTCAAACCATCAGAGAGCTGTCTCCCCCCTCCTCTCTAGAGTCCATGCTCACTCAGGTCACCATGTGGTGGACTCTGAAGCTTCAGTGTTTATCCAGCTCTGCATGGGTCTGTAAACCTTTCTGTGTTCTAACCTCTCTCCATTTTTCAAAAGCATCTCCAATATTGATCCTAGTTTGAGCACGTTTCTGCTCGTGGAGCTTATTAGAAACATGCAGAGGCTTTTTAGGTCGGGTACAATCACTTCTATCTGAACCACTTCTCTTGACCGCTTCCATCACTGCAACACCTGTTGACCTGATAACTGCTCTCATATCTGACAAACCGAGGGGAGTCTTAAAACCGCCTACCTTCTCTGGTCCAAACAAATCCAGAGCATTCAGGAGCAGAATCTAAAGTTAGAAGGAGGACATAAATGCTGCTCAACTTTATAGGTGGTTTCTGTTCGCTGTCTGAACTGACGGGACTTTTATTTATTTTTTTGCTTAAATGAGCTGTTTGGGTTTTCACTTCTGCTTCTGTGTTCTCCGCTTCAAGAACAGACTCCTCAATATTTCAGTGTAATTTGTATGTATCCTTTATTAGCATTAGCATCAGGACCCCGAAAATATACTGTTAGAAACTGGAGCTTGAAGTTGAATTTAGTATAATAAATGATTATAAAAAAATATATATTTTTTTTATCTCAGACGAGAGTGAGAGAGTAATTTTCAGTTGTTCAGAGAGGGAATAGAAAACTAGAGCTGGAGAGTCAGTGGAGGTGATAAAACAGGTAAAGAGTTTTAAAACGTTAGTTTAAAGTGACTCACCTGTCGTCATCAGTGAGAGGAGCAGCAGGAGAAATCTTCTCATCTTTACAGTCTCGGATCCTGAAATCGTCTCTAATAGTTATTTGTCTTCTCTCCGTGTTGTCAGTTCCTCTTTCTTTGGTTGATCTGCAGCATCTGGACAGGCAGCAGCGTTTCCTGAGATTATATTTTTAGGTTGCATGAAAGTTACCCGCCTACTTCTTATCACCTTCCTCCTCCTTTTTTTCACTGCAACAAATGTTCTGTATTTCAAAGGTAAATAAGTCTCAGAGCTGGCTGTTTCTGTGTCTGTACCTTTAAATATGTAAATGAGCTGTGTCTGACCACGCCCCCTCTCTGGAAGGGCTTGGGTGTACTCGGTCTTTCTCGCTCCATGTCCTATTGTTTACGGTGAGAAGGCAGACTCAGAGGGCAGAACAAACACCTAGCTGTGGGAGTGTCACCCACCTGGGGGAGGGGCTACTGCCCTTTGTGATGTCATGAAGGGAAAATCTCCAAACGGCCTGTTTGAGCACACATTTTCTGAAAAGTGGAGCAGGCAGAAGACGGAGAGGATGGACTTTTCTCATCATTGGGGGGTTTGTAGACGGACTAGAGACACATGTTAGAGTTAGAGGAACATGGTGAAGTGGATTTTACAGAATCTGTCACGTTTAAAGTATGAACCCTTTAAGTCTCTATTAGTAAATACATAAATGGGGATTTAGCCAAATGGTTCTTCCTTCTGTCAGTTAATGTTTTAAAACGTTTGAACGCTTGAAAAGAAGAAAAAAGACTTGTGGTTGTTTCCATGTTGTAAATGGAAGCAGAGAAACATTACATTATCACGTTGAGCCATTTTCTGTTCTGTCTTCAGGAAGTGAAGTTATAGTCACAAAAAAGATCTGCTATTTTCTCTGTCTGAAGAATTTCCTCAAAATGATTCTCTGCAATGAAACATATATATATATAGATTTTATTTATAATGAGCAAACGTTGATGACAAACTCACAATTCAGAGTTAAAAACCAGAAAATCTGAATTTTAAATAAAAAATGATTTAAAAGGAATAAAGAGAAAAAAGTATACAAAATCGCTGAAGGTTGAGTTTAAAGGCTTTATATGTGATTTTTTGATCCAGCAGATGTCGCCCTTGAGCACCCAGCATGAAACCAAAACAACTGGCGCTGCATTGTTGTGTTAGCATGCTAATGCTAGCGATCTTTATTATGCTGGTATCTTCACACTGCATGTAAATTTACCTGAAATGAGCGTGATCTAGAAACACAGTTAAGCAGTGAGTACAGTATGTTATTCTTCTTTTCTCTAGTCCCTCAATTAAACAACTTTTATACATGAGGGGAGGAGTCAGTCGGCTCTCCTGACGATGTAAACAAACTGAAGATAGAACTCTGAAAACTCTGAAAACATCACAGACAGTGGGACTCGGGTGTTACACCCATTGTAGACAGTCATGACTCACAGAGTTATTTTCAGAGGATATACTGGATTTCTACATTTAAGTGTGAAAAATCACATATAAAGACTTTTTAAAAACATTTTACAAGACACCTAAAATATATACAGTAAATTTCTATTTCTAAATGTGCATAACATATGACACATGGTGTTTTTACGATACCTGAACATCATCAGTCTGATGCTGTAAATGTTTTACTGCAACAGACAGTTTTATTTTAGGGGAGAAACAGCACTGCAGCCCAGTTACCACCAACTCTCAGCTGATGTAATAATATCACTTTAAGGGCTTGTGTCCATCCCATTAACGAAGTCAGTGACCGCCTGAGTGACGTCACAGGGACGCAGGGGGCGCTGGAGTCCCATCGATGGCGGTCTCCATGCTGGAAATGCTGTCTCAGTCTAACTTTCAGTCAACCTAACGACAGGCTGAGAGCTGGAGCTGAGGCGGGTTTTAAACCTCCTGACAAACCGTTACACCGCACCCACCTGTCAATCAGGTCAGCTACACGCCTTATTGTGAATAACTCTTATCCTTCATCAAATCAAAACTGATGAGTCATCAAAACATTCACCCCCCGTACAGTGTGTGTCCATCCAGACATGAGCTAATCACACCTATTTGGTTTTTTGAACCAGGCTGTAAACATGTTCATCTCTGCTGTAAAAACAGGCTTTTTAGAATGGGTGTGTATGTGACTTCCTGTGCTTCTGCAGCCAGCCTCTAGTGGACACTCCAGGAACTGCAGGATTTTGAACTTCAGAATTGGCTTCACTTTTTAACATCGGAGGTTGCTGCTTGTACCGGCAGTGCCCACAATGTCAGTTTCAGAGCGCTTCTGTTGCTAGGTTATGAAAGTAAACCTCTACCTCACTCTGTAACGACCGTTTGGTCTATTTCAAAAAAGCTGCGCTGCTTGAAATCTGCTTTTACTCAAGGTAATATCAAAATGTAAAATACATAAAAACAATATAAATGAGTCCTGAATGAATGTTTTACTTTGAGGCTCATTTGAATGGAAAGTGTCCGATGATGCTCCATGACGACGCTTCATGATGTCTGCATAATGTTGGGTTGAAATGACCACAAACAGCTCCTCAGCACAGAGACGATGTTTCTTTGCGACGCAGTTTCTGCCGCATCAGTCGTGCACTGCTTTCATACATTTCCCCATCAGTCTAAATCAGTGCAGACACCTTAAAGTCTCAGAGCCGCCTGACCTGCCCATAGTGCTGCTGTCCGTAGCTGACAGTGGAATAAACAGGGTCTACAGACAATGTGGACACGTGTGATTGACAGTTGAGTAGACGGGACTTGGGTCAGGGTGTCGCACAGTAGAATATGCGTCTCCTTTCACGTCAGAGCTGTTTTTGAAGGTGACGACGGAGTAACCCGGTGGGGCAGATGAGATGCTGGGGAAGTTTGCGGTGGCGTAGATGGTTGGAAGAGGAGGTCGCTCCTGGATCTCTGCGTAGGCTTGTTCCTTCAGGAGCAGAATAAAAACACATTTATAAACATTGATGAATGACTGACGTTCATAAAGACAGTTTAACAAATCTTAAAACATTTTACTCTGAACTAGCTGTCAGCCTTATCAAGATGCGTTTGCGGTCTGAAATAAAGGCTTTCATCGTTTAAATCAATGAAATCATAGTGCTGTCCCTCCCGCTCTGTTAGCCACCACAGCGTCTCCTTGTAGTCACAGTGATGTATGTCCTCTTTAACAAACTCTCAGACAGCTCAGCTGACGAGTCCAAAGTAATATCTACCAAAATATCCTCCAAAATAAAAGCACCACAAAATCTGTTTGGAAATGCAAAATGATATAATTTCAAGCATGTGCTTAAAATGTGATTAATCACAATTAACTATTGAATTCAGCGATTAATCATGGTTCAACTCTGAAGGAAACAACAAGGCGGCGGTCTGTCTATTGATGTGTATAGTGTGCAGCAGTATGAACGTCTCTCCTCACACACACACACACACACACACACACACACACACACACACACACACACACACACACACACACACACACACACACACACACACACACACACAGAACTACACTTCACACAGAGATGATCATTTACCTCGAGTGCTCCTCCATCTCTCCAGGTTTCTGAACGCTTACATCCTGAACGAGAAAAAGGGGGGAGGGATTAAATTAAGAAATAAACAACGAGAGAAAGTTATTGAGTTAAGTTATTGAAAAATGTTACACACACACACACACACACACAGACATGTATGTCTGCGTGTGTGTGTGTGTGTGTGTGTGTGTGTGTGTGTGTGTGTGTGTGTGTGCGCGTGTGTGTGTGTGTAACTGTGGGGAGAACGGGTAAAGAAACCTCTTACGTTTGTAGACCAGAACCAGAATGATGATAAGCACCACGACTAGACAGACGACCACAGCACTGATCACAGGTAACAGCCAGACTTCCTCCTCTTGAGATTTAGGCACTAAAAATAGATAATAAAACAGATTACAGATAAAGCGACCCTTATGCATGGTTAATACTTCTGCGTCAAATCTATGCTGTGGTACACACCAAGGGTTACGCTGACCGGATCAGAGCTGACCCGGATCAGAGCTGACCCGGATCAGAGCTGACCCGGATCAGCTCACGACAGTGCGAGATAATACGATGCATGTGTAATAAAACCGTATAAACTCATCAACAAACACACGAGTGTTTTATTCTGAAAAATAAACCGGATGTGTTTCATGTTGTTCTGGTGTCTGACTTCCTGTCCCACTCGATCTGCTCTGTGTGCTAAATTGATGCTCTGCCAACTAGCGTTTGCGTTCCTCCTCTTCTGCTCTGCACACATTTTATGATCAACGCCTTCCAACTCAGATTACTAAACGTTACAAAATCTGATCGTAATCCTACAGATTCAAAAAGAGAGACCAACAGTCTGAATTACTCACCTACAGTCACCAGAAATCTGTGGTAGAACTTGTCTGTTTTTGAGCCGCTGTTTTTTGTACCACACCAGTACGTCCCAGTGTCCTCTGCTGTGACTCCTGTCACTGTGATGTTGATCTGTTTTTTCCGATGATCTTCCTTCAAGGAAAACCTCCCAGTGCTTCTGCGTGACCCCTGTTTGCTTATTAGAGTCTGACATGAAGAGGGATCCTCTCCTTTACAGAAAAATCTAAATATGCTAGAACTTTCTGGATAGTCACACCTGAATGTAGAAGTCTGTCCAACAGCTAGAGACAATTCAGAGGTAGTAATATCTGTAGAGAGAGAAGGACATCGTTTACTGTATTTAAAGACTGGACATGTGGCTTCATGACATCACAAAGCGCAGTAGCCCCTCCCCCAGGTGGGTGACACTCCCACAGCTAGGTGTTTGTTCTGCCCTCTGAGTCTGCCTTCTCACCGTAAACAATAGGACATGGAGCGAGAAAGACCGAGTACACCCAAGCCCTTCCAGAGAGGGGGCGTGGTCAGACACAGCTCATTTACATATTTAAAGGTACAGACACAGAAACAGCCTGTTCTGAGCAGGGCTGAAATAGAGGGGTTTATAGACATGATCAAATACAGGATCAGAGTGGATTTAGGACAAGAAACTTCATACACATGTTTTGAGGAGCTCTGAGACTTATTTACACCGAAGAAGAGGAGGAGGATATGTCACCTTTAACGGGGGATGGGTTTACATTTCCTTTGGCTTTAACCAAACAATGTTATTGTTTAAGTTCTCAAATGGAAAAGTGTCAGAAGTAGATGACTCACCTTCAACATTTAGATGAATCTTCTTCAGTCCGGCTCTGGAAATTCCATCTTTAGATTTCAGTCCACACCAGTAGTCGCCCAGATGCTGCGTGGACACGTTACTGATGGACACGATTAAACCTGTTCCTGTTATATTGAGACTGAACGTCCCGTTTGACCTCAGAGGAGGTTCTGAAAGAATGTCCTCACAGATGAAGCCGTTGTCTTTGCAGAAAAACTTGACATTTGACTTGTTTGGATATTCACACGTGATGGTGGTTTTAGCCGTTTTATATGCAATCTGATTAAATGGAGTCTCGTAAGAATCCTCACCTGCAAACAACAGAAAAATTAAACATGCAAATGTGTCAGTCTTTAAAGGCATGTTTTACCTCAGTAAACATTTTCTCTCCATGACCTTAATCTCTAGTCAAGTCAAGTCATTTTAAAAACTGTCTTATTTTGTGTAAAATTGTAATGTGGAAAGGAATGCTTTAAGCCAAGTCCTGGTGCGGACCAAACCTGGAAGTTGGTCTGGTAGCTAAGGAGGTGCTGGTACCTGTGACTAACAAGTCCCTACCAAGGCGGCCAGTCAGTCAGGATAGAGTCCACCCATGTACCAACCTTGTGTTTAAAATATGGTCACTTCTGCCCTCCAGGTGTTGGCTAAGAAACCAAACTTGAGGCTTCAAAGGAGAGTCAATAAACCAAATGGGGGAAGTCATCTTGGCTACATCAGTGTCTTATATACTTGAATTGTTCTGTACTACGGCTGCATGGTGCTGCAGTGGTTAGCTATGTTTCCTCACAGTGAGAACAAATCCTGTTTGGACAGGAGCCTCTCTGTGTGGAGTCTTTCTCTCTGGGTTCTCCGGCTTCCTCCCACAGTCCAAAGACATGCTCGTTAGGTTAAAATTGTCTGTAGGTGTCTGCTCTAAATTGTCTGTAGGTGTGAATGTGAGTGTGTCTGATTGTCTGTCTCTATATGTCAGCTCTGTGATTGGCTGGTGAACAGTCCAGGGTGTAACCCCGCCTCTCGCCCAATGACAGCCGGGATCGGCTCCAGCCCAACGGGTAAAGCGGTAAAGATAATGGATGTTCTGTACTAGCAGAGCTTGACCACTTCAATATGTACGACACAAAGGTTTATCTTAGTAACAGAGTCTTATCAGCACATTTAAAGGTTCCACAACTATCAACATGGGAGACAGGAATAGAAAAGAAAACATTTCTCACGTTTCAAGTCCACCTCCTGATCAGAATCGTGTTGATCAAATCCACACTTCCACTTCTTAAAGTCGTTAGACTGAAGTTGTCTGATGATCACCCTGAGATTTTTATTTGTCCTGTCATGGTAAAGGTGAAATCTGTTTTGACTTTTCCAACTAGCTGTGAGATTACTTTCTATGACTGTTTCATCACCACACTTGACATAAACAGCCTCATAACTTGTATTAACATCTGGATATCTGCAGGTGAAGTCCACCCATCCACCACTGCATCCCATCATGTCGATGTCTTCAGATGAATCTTCAGATGAATCTTCAGATGTAGCTTCACAGCCTGCAGATCAGAGAGAAATGTTGAGTTCAGAATATGACACCACACGGGGCTGTGATCTGAATATGATCCAGACAGATGAAACTGATGCAGTAATAATCATTCCTATTATAAAAAAGTTTCCTGGTGATTTCTTAGAAGCATCAGGGTTTCTCGGAGGAAGTAATCAAGTTATCAGAAACAATCAGTAAATGTGTTGTCATGTCTGCTTTTCAGCTGGTTTTATTTCCTTGAAGAGGACATATTATCACCCTCCTCCACCTTTTCAAACAGTCCCCCTGTGGTGGATGGTACCCATGCAAACTGACTGGCTGCATGGACAATGGACTACCTCACCAACAGACCACAGTACGTGAGGCTTCAGGACTGAGTCTGACATGGTGGTCTGCAGTAAAGGGGCCCCGCAGGGGACAGCTCTCTCCCCTTTTCTCTTCACCCTGTACACCTCAGACTTTTTATGACACTGTGGTGGCGTCTGCACTTTTCTATGCAGTGGTCTGCTGGGGAGGAGGGAGCACAGAGAGAGACAGGAAGAGACTGAACAGACTGGTCAGGAGGGCCAGTTCTGTCTTGGACTGTCCTCTGGACTCTGTAGAGGAGGTGAGTGAGAGGAGGATGTTAGTGAAGCTGACATCCATCATGTCACCCCCTGTAGACACTGTGGGGGCCCTGTGGGGGCCCTGTGCAGCTCCTTCAGCAGCAGACTCAGACACCCACCCTGCAAGACAGAGCGCTACCGCAGGTCGTTCATCCCATCTGCCGTCAGACTGTTTAATCAGACTGTTTAATGAGACTCTTTAACAACATCACCAACTCATGCTACACACTGTGTGTGTTTTTTTAATAACAATAACTCTTTCCAGTGTAGTTACTGTGTAATTTTCCATTATTGTATTTTTTTATTTAACTGATGCAAATATGTTTGATTTTTGATTTTTAACTTCTATTTGTATTTTTAATAAATATATTCCCATCCCCTGTTTTCTGGAGCTGCTGTAATGCACAAATTTCCCCCATGGGGGATCAATAAAGTTTATCTTTATCTTTATTGTAGCTAGGTTTTAAAAGTCACTTCCCTCTGTAGTGACTGTTTGTTCTATTTTATAAAAGCTACCTGAGGTCAATCTGCTTACATTCAAGGAAATATCACCAAATACAAAAAACATCAAAACAATATAAATCAGTCCTGACTGAGTGTTTTACTATGAGGCTCATTTGAATGGAAAGTGTACGATGAAATGTGTAGAAACATGATAAAAGGTTTTATAAAAGTTGTTTTTGTCGTCATCATCCCTTTACTATTAAGAGTATTTTTTGTGTGGCAAAACTTGTTCATACAGAGTAAAGACTTTGAAGAAGTCAAAGTCAGTCCTGGCAGATCTTCATCATCCTTTGTCCAAGGAGTTTAAGTCACTGCTGCCCGGCCACAGATTCAGCCCGCCAGCATGCAAGAGGCGAGAGACTGAGGAACTAATTTGTCCCGGCAGCCATTGTTTTTTTAAATGACTAATTAAATGTTCCTTCTTTATTTGATTTATTGTCCATTGGACTTTCTACGTCTAAGTGTCCTTCTAATGTTGTATAGTGGTTGCTGTATGTTTTGTTTTTTTTACTGCTGAAAGGAACAGAAATCTCCCTCTCACAGGGAGAATAAAGATCAGTAATTTCATGAGTGAAACGTTCGCAGTTCACATGAAAAGTGATTACAGAAAATGTTTCAACACATTTGCAGTGAGTGTGTAAAATGTATGTTTTGTATTTTGTATCAGTTAATAGAGTAATGTAGTTTTGTAGCATGGTGCTGAAGGATTTCTCTACATATTTATGGCACATTAACACATAAAATAAGCTTTGATTATAGTCTGTTTTAGAGATCAAAAGGTTTACCTGTCATCATTGCGACGAGGAGCAGGACAAAGATCTTCATCATGCTGCTTTCTGACTCCAGCTGCTTGTTTCAGGTTAACTGCTGCTTCTTCACAGTCCACTGATCTCAAAGAGTTCTGGTTCCTGAATTGGTCAAGCCGTTACTTAAAAACTCTACACCTAACGCCTTTTCGATGAATCCTTCCTTATTTTCATTTGCGGTTGATCATATCTTCTTCTACAGAAACAGTGTCTGGCAGTAAAGGGGAAGGGGAAACCCACTGAGGCAGAAAAAACAGATATACAGGAATTAGCAGTCATAATCACAAGATGTTAGAAATAGAGGACGATGTTCTGACATGTAAACACTTTGATCACAAAGAAGGAGGAGCTCATCTTTGTTTAAAAAAACAAACCCACGTCATTAATCTGTACAGTTCCTGAACATAAAACGGAAGAAAGTGACAAAAAAGGTAGTATGACAAGGACTTTTTCGATCACATCACAGCAGAACCACTGCAGCTGTGGCTCAGTTGGTAGAGTCATTGCCTCTCATCCAGAAGGTTAAGGGTTCAATCCCCAGCTGAGCAATATGTCTGATGTGTCTTTGGGCAAGACACTTCACACTGCCTTACTCCTGCAGCTTTGGTGGCAGTGTATGAATGGATTTGTGTTGTACTTACTCTCTGATGTATGTCGCTTTGGATAAAAGCGACTGCTGAGTGAATTGTAACATCGCAGGAAGAATCAATCTTTTTCCATAAACAAGCGAGACGCTAACAAAGCTTCAGAGAGAAAACAGGGAACTGAAACAAAAGTGTTGATGACTGAAAGTATGAGACGATACTGTAATGCTGTAATGATTATATAGTATTACATCACCACACTTTAACAGGCTTTATTAATAAACTGAGCTGCTGATGTAATGTCTGATGTTGTAACAATTCATATTTATTTTTATACCAAACATGGAGAACGAGAGCACTGTTGTGTTTGTGTTTTTCTGTAAACATGGAGATCAACTTCAAATCTGAATATAATTCCTTTTACACCTGATCTTAGGACATTTTTATGAGTAAGGCCTGTTGCATCTGTTTCAGGTGTGTCAGCATGTTTGATGGCTGTCAGGTGCACATTCAACCTGAAAACCGTGTGCAACGATTGGCTCCAGTTTTTGAAACGGTGCACGACTGGCTTGACGTGTATTTAGCTTTCAGTCACATGGTCGGCATGCAGGGCAAAAAGGGTGTAGGGAACTGGAGGCTGAATTGAATACTCCACAGGCTTTTTAAGTTGACTATCACTTCAAAACGATGTCCTGAAAACCACAGGAACCCAGAGATATTAAGATACACTGAGTTTTGGAAACTTGTGACCAGGCTCGTCTCCTTGTTGGTTAGAGCATCACATTCAACAACAACTGTCTTTAGATTACATAGACACAAAAAACTTGTTAAAGACGCAAGTGACAACTAAGACCAGTAACTGTGGGATGTCACATGACAAGTATTAATATCTAGCAGCAGCCACAGCACAGATGTGAAGGAAGTGAAACCCAGCAGAGACTGCACAAAAAAAGATGGCCTTGGCGTCTTTTGAAGCTATCAGTTTTTAAATTTAAATTAAGATATTTGATGGGCACAATGCATTGAAACATAAGCATTAACACAATTAATTCCCATTGTTTACTGGTACTTTTGAAAGACTAAAAAAAATAGCTCTTTAGCTTTATTTATTTTAAGAAAACACATTTTTCTGATAAATTACCCAAACATCTTTTAATCCACACATTACAATTTTTTTGTACACTCACATTCATACATACCCTGTCCAGTTTTTTCACTGTGGATCCAATAGTCTTCACTGGTAATGATACATGACATGACCACAAAAAAATCATTTTTCATATCTCAGATGTCTTTCAAACATATCTTAATCCTGTCAATAATCTGGAATAAACAGGTTTGTGACATGAAAACACAGTTCATATGATGACAAAAAAAATGCTCAAACATTAAATAATAACCTACTCATATGTCCTTCAATTCCTTTGATCTATTTAATATGTGTGACCTGTAGTAGTCCCACATATAAAAAATGAATTTTAAGTTTTTGAATAAGATTTTTTGCACATTGACTTCTCTAAGAACTTTATTTTTATGTTAACGTCCCTCAAATGCATTGTGATTCAATCAGCCGTCAAATGAATGGATGGTAGTAATAAGATATTTCAATTTATTCAATTGTCTTTCTGTGTGATGTGTGTAGTTGTCATTCTTAGAGATAAAGTCAGCAGCTTTTTCCAAAATAAAATAAAAAACAGACTTATCCTAAGTAAAGCTGCTCCATTGTCCCTTCTGGGCCTCGAATCATGTGTGGTGGGGACTGTGTCTGCAGAGACTCTGTCCTCTGTCTGGATTTTCATGGTTTGGTTTGTTTGGTTGGCACGGGACTTTTCTGGGCAGGGAGCTGTTTTTTTTTCCTCTAGCCCACACAGGTGAGTTTTGGAGTGGATACAATTCAGCGATTTGATGGAATTTGAACCGGCGAATATGGCAGATGCAGCGGCAAAGCAGAAAAAAAAAATCATAGTGAGGCAAAATGCCACGCTACTAAAGCTCGTTCTAAAACATGGGTGAAACCTGTTGTCTGTCAGAAGGAGTTGGTCTGCTTTCTGTTTGCCAAAAACACCAATGGTTAGCTTGTGCTAGCGTGCGGTAGCTTGCAGTGTAGCTACATGCAGTAAATGTAAACACTACGTCCTTCAGTGAGTGTGAGCTTCTGGGGATGTTGAGCCCAGGAGGAGGGGCCACGTTTGAATGTGTGTTTGCAAGCTGTAAAAAATATTGCTACTGACTACCTTTAAATAATGTTAAAATAATTAATTTGTAAATATTTAATGAGAAAAGCGATATAGATAAAACCATCCTTGATGTTGTTATGTGTATTATTGACCTCCTTTGTTGGCTTTTTGTAGAGGTTAGTGGAATGTGCAAATTTATCCTGAAGCAATGATGGCTGTCATTAAGAAACATGTATGTATGTCTGTATGTAATACACAGCACCTGTGTTTGTATTTTATAAACTCCCTCTAAGGCTTGTGGCCAAAGTCCCATGTGAACAAACCATTTGGTCATACTTCTGTTAGTAGCAGTGTTGAACACCCTTAAATTCTTCCAGAAAACCCTTTCAGGGTTGATAGGGTTGCTGATTTGGCATACGTTAATGGAGAGCTAAAGGTTTGTACAATCATTATAATGGAAAACATAATAATGGAAAGTTCCAAGACTTCTATGCCATCATCAAAACAAGAGGGTTGTGCCATCGTAATACTGGACGACTCTTGGGCAGAAGGTCTTTCCATTATGACACTTGATGGTCTGGGGACAAAGGGCCATACCATCAAATACTTGACAGTCCTTAGAATGAGGGTCAAGCAAACAGGATTCTCATGGTCCAAGAGTAATGGATCATACCATTACAATCATGATCCCGGATGCTCCAAGCGCAGAAATGTTTACCATAATAATACTGAACATTCCTCAGGCTGAAGGTCATAATCTTATGATACAGACAGATAAAGATTGAGGGTCTTTCCGTCATGTCACTGGACAATCCTTAGAAATGTTGTACCATCATGACACTGGCGAGTACTAATGCAGTCCTTGTACTGTACTCAGTCTGAGTTTCATACTTTTAAGATACCATCAGTTCAAAGGCTGAAGGTTATGTCCTTAAGATGCTGTACAGTCAAAGGTCATGGTTGATTTAATAATGTAACAAGACCAAGTGCCAAGGCAGCATGTCATACAATCATGTTACAGGACAGTCTTAAGGCTGTGGGTTGCAACCTTTTTGAAATCAGATGGTCCTGGTGCAGAGGCTTATGCAATCAAGACACTAGTTCACCTAAAGCTGAGGACTTAATATCCCAGTACTAGGTGATCCTTAGGCAGAACTTTGTACCACAATGGTAATAGATGGTCCTAGGGCAAGGGTCATCCATAGATTGTCCAATCTTGGGGGTTGTGTCATCATGATGTTGGATTGTCCTAGTGCAGAAGGGCCATACCATCATGATACTGGACATACCTTGGGCTGAAGGTCATGCCCTTTGATACAGGAAAATCAAAGGCTTAGGGTCACTCCATCATGTTAGGGAGAAAGTGGTACCATCATGATTCCAAACCGTCCTAAGCTTTACAGTAGTGTTACCATTGTACTGGTCAGCCATTTCTTCAATCCTTAGTTAGGGAGCAGTACCATCAATAAACTAGATGTTCCTAGGGCAGAGGGTCGCACCATCATGATACTGGACAGTCCCAAGGCTGAGGGTCATACCGTCATAATACAGGATTGTCATGAGGCAGAGGAGCCCATAATTATGATACTGGTAGAACCTATGGCAAAATCGTACCATTACCATACTGGACAGTCATGAGCCAGAAGGTCATACCAGCTTGATACTGGACAATCCTATGGTCGTACTAACATAAAACTGGACGGTCCCAGAGCAGAGGATACCAGCTTTGTGATAGTGGATGGTCCTAGGGACGAAAGTCTTACAAAATGATACTGGACTGTCCTAGGGAGGAGTATCGTACCATCTTCATACTTGTGGGCCTTAGGAATCGGGTCGTACCATCATGAAACTAGACAGTCCTCAGGATCAAAGGTTCTACTGTCATGTGTAAAGAAAGATGTTGTTAGAAGTCATATGGTCGAATCATCATGGAGGTGGAGCGCAGGGAGTAGCTGGGTCCTCTGAAGTGGTGCCACTTGATGCCATTCAGCTTCCTGATGTTGTGACCAACAGTGTAGTAAATACCGTTCAGGTTGGAGAAACCACAGGCATCGAACCACCAACCTAATGGAGAGAGGAAGAGAGGGAGGGTGCACAGAAGAGAATCAGCTGTGTGTTACGAAGGGGGAGGAAGAAGAAGGGAGGAATTTATGTAGAGTGCGGTGGGAAACACAAGAGAGAAAGGAAATGGGTAAAGCTGAAAGGAAGAAAAAGAGAGGAAATAGGGCAGGGAAGAGCAAGAAGAGGCAGAATAAGAGAGATGGAAGAACAGAAATGTTGAGACAATGAAGAAATTAGCTTGGAAAAAGCAAAACGTGCAGTAAGGGGGAAAGTATTGGAAATGTGAGTATGAAAGGTGATGCATAAGGGATTTTCCATTTAATTCCTCATGATTGGCAAGCTTGGGTGCAATTTCCATTATAAGATTTGAGGAAATATTGTGTGTGACTGTGTGTTGGTTTTCAGTATGACACACCCTCACTAGTAGTGTCTCATTCTCTCCCCTTACCTTTTCGGTTATTCCCTTCTCTTCCATTCCTATGATTTGTTGT